TTTCTCAAGTTCTAATTCTGTCAATCCACATGAAATTTCATTCTTTCAAAATTCACAAACTCCGCCGAATTTACCATTTTAGTTGAGCATATTTGACTCATTTTGCCAACAACTAAAAAAAATATTTTTTGTAATTGTGCTATTTTTTTCTTATGTAATCTTAATTTAAGTTATTTTGGTCTTGTAGTGTTTTCTTTTTCATGCAATTAAAATTTATTGTGAATAGAATATAAAAATAGTATTTATATATATATATATTATATTTTTTAACTTATTATAGATATAAAAGTAGTCATGTGTTATTTTAAAAAACTATATTATCTATTATATTTTTTATTAATGGTTAAATTTTATTTTATTTTAATGATTTTACTCTCATTTTTTGTTAATTGTACAATTTTTTAAATGTTATATTATTAATAGACTATAAATGATAAAAAAATTATGTCTCATTATTTATTCCAAAAATAATATATTTTTTAAAATGTTATATTATTAACAGACTATAAATGATAAATTGTATAGTGCTTGCCATATTTCTTGAAGGGGTATTTTTGTCCGCTACGCTTGTTGTGATACCACAACATTTATTTCATAGTTTTTTTTATTTAATCTTAGTTAATAAATTATTTGTTACATTATAATTAATTGTAAAATTATATTATTTTATTTTTTCATATGAAATGAGATGGGTCGGTAAACACAAATTTAAGACTTGGGTTATCCGTTTACCCGACGAAAACTCACTAACCTGTCGGGTAAAATCCAACTCGAACTCGAAGATCACAAACAGGGTAACGGGTTGGGTTTGGGTAGGGTAAATTATATGCGGGTCAGGTTCGGGTTTGCCAAAATCCGTACCCGACCCGACCCATTTACATTTCTACGACGGACCGACCCGTTTAGCCCAAAAAAAAAACAAAGTTAGAGATCTTTATTGATAGTCTATTTAAATCCGATTCTTTTAGGTCTGGACCGTTTAGCCCAAAGTCTGTTAAGACTAGGGCAAGCCCGTCTCTACATTATCAAACCTGCAATTTGAACTCAAAAATCTACTTTCCAAACAAGACATATAGGCGACTAAAAAAAATATACAATAAGGTTAGATGTGATGTGCATATAATCCCAAACATATTATAATGTATGCGGCCAAAAAAAAAAGTATGTGGCCCAAAAAGAAGAGTTGTACACCAATAAATATTTTCATATAATTAATTTTTCAAAGTCATATCAATAAATGGAGATATAATTTTGATGCAGTGTTACATAATTGTATATGGAATGGTTTCATTTTTATTTGATTAGTTAAGATTTATTTCATCGATCTATAGACTAAATAATATTTTTTTATTTTATTTCATTTAATTGTTCCTCTAATATATCATTCCCCTTTCATAAAATAAAAATAAAAATAAAAATAAATATAAAACATTATCATATACTTTCCAACAAAAAAAAAAATAAAATAAAACAGTATTTGATTACTCATATACTCCTAACAATCAGTTATATTCAATCAATATTTTTTTTTTTATATATCACTTTACTTTAATTATTATATTTTTACTTTATATCCATCAATAACTTTTTAATTTATATTTTATTTTTTATTTAAAAATAAAAAGAAAAAAAAAAGTCTACTGTTTTTATCAATATAACACTTTTCAGAAGAAAAATCTTATTCTAACCCAAATGTCGTGAAAGTCAGGAATGATAGCGAGCAGTCCATTGGGAGACCAAATTGAGGAGAGCCCCCACTCTATATTTGTTTCTTTCTTTTTTTTTTTTTTCTTTGGTTTTAATAATCAATTGATGGTAGAATAATTCAAAGGGTAAGTCTCATATATTATCAAACTTTTCCATTTGAGGTATCAAAAATCTTTCTCAATTTTGTCAATTAAAACTTTTGAATTGTTCTTTTAAAATCATTTATGCTTTTGGAGAGTTCTCTTCCTAGGGCACGTATTAGTAACTAGAGTCTTCAATGGATCTAATCCTTTTATCTTAATCATACACTTGTATTCGTATTATGGTTCTTGTATTGCTTGTCACCAATGGCATGGACGTCTCAGCTTACTTTTTTTCTTCTCCTGGTACTTATATCTCAAATGGCTTTAGTCCCTCCAGGCACTCTGGTGATTATGGTAAGAACTTGACTAAACATACTAACGTGTATTTCATTTCACAAGAAGAAAAAGAATTCTTGAGGGAAAACCTTGAACTCCGTTACATTATACATTCCTTAGGAATGATCCTTTTAACATTATAATGGTCTGAAGCCTGTTTTGAAAGAGAAAGTTCTAGACTCGACACTTATTTTTCAATTTCTCATTTTTCTTGAAATGAACTCGTCCTTTTGTAGACTAAGGAACAAGGTTCGATACAAGATAATTGAATTTTTCCCTTACATGAGCCATGTTGCTACGCGTTTCACTGAGAAACTTCAGACCAATATTGTGCTCAAACCTACCCTACCACAGACTCAATTATTCATCTTTTGAGTTGGTTGTAGTAGCGAGTCCTTATCTATTGACACATCTTCTTTAGTGCTTGGTCCCTCCTTTAGTGCTTGACAACTTGAATTTGGCTAGACGTACATGCTACCATGTTTTTCTCCGATCCTTTTGATTTTACCACAAATTTGTCGATGATGATAATCTTGTAGTAATTTAATTTGAAATGCATATATCTTGCCTTTATTTTCCACGTTAAAGGATTTTAAGGATTGTGAATATACCAAGTAGTTATTATCGTGATAGTTTACAAATACCTTATCATCTGAGTTGAATTCCATGGGTTTTTCCACAATGTTTTTTTATGTCTAATTTCCTTTATGTCGAAGGGTTTGAAAGTTTTTTCTTCTTCCTTGGTGCATCGTTCTCCCAAACTGATTCATATCATAATTAAATGTTTTGTTAGA